GGCACAAACGCACTCTAGCCTGGGTAACGGAACAAGATCAGAAAGAAAGAGTACTGGCTACTGTGAGAGCGTAAGAGACGTAATCTTGGAGAGGGGTGTTATGGAAAGTCCTGCTACGTAAGTGATAGATGAAGGCTGACAAGAGATCACGCCAGTGAAGGGTAGGGTGGAGACTGTTCTAACATCTAGATGGGGCAAGAGTCTCTGAGAAGGCTCTCAGGTGGAAGCCGCATGATGATTTGAGGGAACAGTGATGAGGCCAATTTGCTCAAAAGCATCAAGTGAAGGGAGGGAGGCAGCAGGCGAGAGGCTGGCGAGGAAGGACTAGATCACACAGGGCCTCACAGGCCATGGAGGGACATGTTTTGGGTTATGTGGCAAATGTTCTTAAGTTGACATTAAGGAGCAACTCCCTTTGGTCACCGTGTGGGTGTTTGGATTATAGATCCCAGGAAAGAAGAGCAACTACAACTAATGCTTTCTAGGTCTATTGTGAGCCAGATATTTCACATCCATTCTGCAACACAATCCTCACAGCAACTCTGAGACCTGTATACCATTATTATCTTCATTTTATAGCCAAAAAAAGTGAAGTTTGAGAGGCTGAGTAACAGGCCAAAGGTCTTACATCTCATAAGTGACAGACTAATAGACTCCACTTGACCTTTAAACCTTCATTTCCCACTGCTTTGTATATTATTAAAATTTAAGCCTGCTCATAGCTTTGAACTGAAAGAAAATAGGCAATTTCAGAACAGATCAGGCTGAGGGGAAATTACAACTTAAAGAAAAACCAAAACCATCTGAACAATGGGGATGTTTTCAGTTAACAGCAGTATGGCATTGGAATAACTTATTGACAGTTTTAGAAATAAATCTGTTTATACAACTCAGCAACCACAGACCAATCAATTATTCAACTATAACAACTAAGTAAAACCAAACACACAGGCCAGGCATTGTGGCTTATGCCTGTAATCCCAGCACTCTGGGAGGCCAAGGTAGGAGGATCTCTTGAGGCCAGGAGTCTAAGAGTAGCCTGGGCAACATAGTGAGATCCCATGTCTACAAAATAAAAATAAATTAAAAAATAAAATAACATGCTAAGCAACCATCAGAATCAGCATAGATGGTATTTTCCTCCCCTTGGGTTCCAATAAAATTATTGATATTCTCGGGGTATAATAGAACAGTCAGACCTATAACAGATAAGCCTCAAAGTTAATTAGTCAAGTATCCTCTAAGCTAACTCGATGGCTAATAAGACTGCATGTCTGTGTGTGCATGTGCAGGTTCTCACATATTCAGATGTGCATGTGTGAATAGCGTTCACAGAGTCCTATACTAGGCACTTTGCGGGAAAAGAAAAAAGAATTCAAGTACTCACATTCTAGCTACTCAATGTTCATAGTTCATTGTACTTGGCAAATCCACGAGTAAGACTTGGTACATGGAGTGAAATAAACCTTAGATTCCTTTAACATTTATATATTAAGTTCCTACCATATGCCTAGTAGTAAGGGAGTTGTCTTTGAAATGTTTTTAAATTAACCAGAAAACGACAAAATTCTTGCCAAAATGAAAAAGCAAAGAGTCAGCTTTAGGAAATTGAAGTGATTAAGAAACCGGAAAGGTGTTTCTTGCTTTCTGACTGCGTTTGGAGCTGTGTTAATGAGTCACACTAATTCATTTTTGATGGACTAGAAAGAAAAGTCCCTTAAAAGGCAACCTGGAAAAATAGTCATACTTCCAAAATTATCTACTGATTTTTAAATAGGCTAGGGAGAAAGAGTGTCTTTTCACATGTGGCCCAGATTGGCACCAGGTGACCAGATGCATCATGCTCTCAGCAGTGTGAATACAGGCAGACTCTGCTTTATATGGCTGATATGTTTCTGAAAGGGGATTTGTTTTTGGTGACCAGGGTGAGTGCTTTTGTCAAGCGACTATTCACTACCTCACAACTCTTTGTAGATGCAGATTTTCTTTAGGTGTTTGGTTTAAAGGGGTGTACCCAATAGGTGGATTTCTACCTATTCTATGACTCTCCTTTCATAAAAACAATATCACATGATAGTGCCATGATGTGCTTGCGATACTTTCACCCAGGTATCCTACAGCTTTGGGACACATTTTTCCCTCCATTCTCAAGAGACAACAAGAAATGAAGTTCTCTGAGAAGGAGGTGAGAGAAAATAATTTTGTATTTACTGAGATAATTCTAATATCTACAATTATTGATTCAGCTCTTTTGATGGACGGTAAAGCGACTGATTTTTTTTAAAAAACTAATTCTCACATATCAAATAAAAATAATACAACAATTATTTGTTACAGTTTTCTACTACTGTTCTAAGACTGGAAGACATCTTCCTGCTTGGCTTCTTTGCTTAGCATATGCTCCTGGATAAGACTTCTCTATACACAATTATGACAACATCATATGTCATGGTGTGTGGAATTGTTTAGCTTTCGGAAGGATGAAGCTGAGAAGTAGTACCAACTCCCCCCCTTCCCATGTGGGCTTCTTGAATTATCACCAGTTGTGTTCCTTGCTGCCTTGATTACAATAAGAAAGCACCCAGGTTTCCTTTTTTCCATTCCAAACTTCAGATGTATTCATTCATTTTTCCATTCAAAACTCATACACATGTGTTGAGTCGACTACTACCTATGGTGTGTCTATCATGAGCAAGGCATGAGGTGTATAAGTACAACTGAGGGTGAGATATAAAACCTACCTTCCAGTACTTTACAATGTAAAAAGGAAAAATATATGAATGCAGCCACCACATATACCAATAATTACAACATACGGAAGAATATAAACCACAAGAGAACAGTTAAGAACTGAGAATTCACTCTTAGCCATGAGCATCAGCCAAAGCTTCACAAAAG